TTTTGCTGGGTACAGTAGTCTGGGTTGACATCCAAGCTCCCTTATTGCTTGTAGTATATCTATCCAAGACCTTCTGGCTTTCATAGTTTCCATTGAGAAGTCGAGTTTTGATTATTATGTGTCGGTGGGACTTCTTTTTGTGGTCCAGTCTGTTTGGTGTCCTATAAGTTTCTTGTACTTTCAAAGGCATATCTTTCTGTAGGTTGGGGAAGTTTTCTTCTATGATTTTGTTGAATATGTTTTCTGTACCTTTGAGCAGTGTTTCTTCACCTTCTTCTACACCTATTATTCTTAGGTTTGGTCTTTTCACGGTGTCCCATATTTCCTGGATATTTTGTGTTAGGGATTTGTTGGTCTTGAGGTTTTCTTTGGTTGATGAATGTATATCCTCTAGCGAGTCTTCAATAGCTGAGATTCTCTCTTCTGTCTCTTGGATTCTATTAGTTATACTCATATCTTTAGATCCTGATCATTTATCCAACCTTTCCATTTCCAGCATCGCTTCATTCTGTTTTTTCTTTAATGTGTCTAATTCAGCTTTCATGCTTTGAACTGTTTCAAGAGCTTCCTTCACTTGTTTGGTTGTTTTATCTTGGGTTTCTTTAGCTTCTTTAAGAGATTTGTTTATTTCTTGAATTTTTTAGTTTGTCTTTTCCTCCATATCGTGTAATTTTTTGCTTGCTTTTTCTTCTATTTCTTTAAGGGATTTTCTTGTTTCCTCTTTGAAGGTCTCTATCATCTTGCTGAGATAATATTTGAGGTCCATCTCTTCTTCTTGCACTATGTTGGGCTTTTCAGGTCTTGCTGGAGTGGAGTCCCTAGATTCTGGTGGTGTCATATTGGTCTCTCTGTTGTTGAGCGAGTTCTTATTCTGTCTTCTTCCCATATCTTTTTCCAGTGAGTGCAAGTATGATCTCTCTATCTCCTCTTGTTACTCTGTAGTGTGTGTGGGCCAGGAATTCAATGTCCGAAGCTCTGGATGGTCTTGCCTCTCCTCGTAGCCTCCTCACTCTGAAGGAGTTAGGCCTCCTGGTCTGGTCTGCGATGAGTCGACGGAAAGGCGAAAGGGTGCTTTTGATGCAGCATTGTATTTCATCATTGGAAGTTTCATATATACTATGTGTCTAAGGAGCATTAGTATTACTAAACAAAAAAATTGTAACTTTGTATAACCAACATTTTCCACATTAGAAATGTCATTCCACCAATAAAATTGCTTGATGTAACTTGAGCTCTAGAATATAGTATGATAAATTCTTCTGAATAAGTAGTTAAAATATTTCTGTATTTTTGGAAAACACATCTCAAACATAAATGACACAAAATAAAATAGGGTTTGAGGCAGATATAAATAGTAACACACAGTACTGAATCATGGTACTGAAATTTTAGATGGCCCATAATAATCTTGCTTTAACATAATCTACAGTCATTCACCAACTTGCAGCATGAGAAAAATCTGGTGGTTAATCAGAGGCTTCGGTCTGCTTAGTAGGTTTGGTGGGTCATGTGACACACTTGCCCCAACTTGAAATGGAAACAGTTGATGCAGGCAGCCACCCATAGTACAGCATTTTATTCAGAGTTAGCATTTGTTGAGTGCCTACTTTTTCATATCGTACTTCTAGTTTTCATTTCATGTTAATATTATGACGTTGTCTGTCTGTTTTTTCTTTTGCTAACAAGGAAAGAGAAGGCTGAATAGAGACTTGGCTCCTTCATATGTGGTATTTGAACATGGTTTCTGCTGCACTATTCTACCTTGTCCCATGCAGTGACAACTGCAGCAGTATCTGTGATAACATTGTCTTCAGATTAGGAGTGATAAAACTGAGCTAAGTTAAGAATTTTCCCCAGATCGCACATTTATCAAGTCATCCAAATAGAACTTGAAATAAGAAGATCAGAAATAAGCTGCAGTCCTCTTGAAGCTCTTAGCTCTTTGTACACATAGTTGTCATGGACTATCTTATAAGCAGCTATTTTTATCTGTGGTGATAACCTCTTATGGCTTCTGCTTTAACTTAAATATGATCAGGCATTCAGCCTTTAAACTCAATAGTATGTGACCACCAAAATTATTTTAGGTGATAGTATTGATTAAGTCAGATTCACAATGCTAAACATTTTACATGTATGAGGAATATTGAGTAGTCATATCTAGAGAAGCAGGAACCATAATGGTTGCTAGCAGCTGGGAAAAATGATGAAGACTTGCCCAGTTGGCAAAGTCATGCAGTTTTACAATATATAAATGTTCCGGAGATTGGTGTACATACAAGTATACTTAACACTACCAAAGAGGATACTTAAAATGTATAAGGTGGTAAACTCTATACTATATATTTTACCTTAGTTAAAAATAAAATAAAAAAATCATTAGTCAGACATGGTGGTATATGTCTGTAATCCCAATACTCTGGGAACATCGGGAGTTGAAGGCTGAACTTGACTATATGACTGTCTTAAAACAACAACAAAATTAATATTATGTTTGCCAACTTATGTGGCACCATGAGGAATGTTACTCATTAATTTATGTTTTCTTCACAGTGATCTGCAGCCCTGGATCCTACAATCCACGGGATGGAACTCATTGCCTCCAATGCAACAGCAGCTTGGTGTATGGAGCAAAGGCATGCATATAGGCCACTGCCTTGTGTGACCCAGTGGTTTATTAAACATAAAAGTCTATTTTTGAAGTGCTAAATTATAACTCACCATAATACCAAAATTAAATAATTAGAGTTTACAAAGATTGGTGTCCTCATTCAATCAAGTACTGTATGTATCATCTTTCTTGGTTAATAATAGAGCTGCATTTGACACCAGTTGACTCCTGTGTCACTGCATTTTAAAAATTGTTTCAAATGTTCTGTATTGGGTGATGTTAAAGATTTTTTCAGGAATTTAAAAACTGCCCCATTTTGTCCTTACTATGTATCACCTAGATTCAGGCCATCATATTCTGTTATAAGAACTTTAATTTAATCCTATAGAATTTTATCTATTTGAGCTTGACCTTTCACTATCTTAGAGCCAGTTTCAAAAGTATGTCCTGGGTCTCATCATTGCACTTGTCAGCATAAGACCTGGGCCTAGGGACACCATGGATTTTAGTATATATAGGTCAGTGTGTTGTCTTGAACTATCAGTTACAGACTCTCAAGCCAGACATGGTAGCACAGGACTGTAATCATGGTACTTGAGAGGCAAAGGTGGAAAGATCAGGAGTTCAAAGCCAAGAACAGCCTGGGCTACATGATCCTGTCTCAATAAGTATCTTATATTACCTCCTTGACATTTTAGGATGGAGCAATCATTGAATTTTCTCAATAGAATAAAGCAGTTTGTCTCCATTGCAGGACTTTCAGGACAAAGAGTTAACAATCATCACATGTTTCATTTACTGCATTATTAAAATGAGTACTGTGTGCCAGAAGTCACTGCTGCTACCACTAGTACCTTGTTTTTCATTGGGGTACCATATTTAAATACAAGGAGTTGCCAATTTGTAATGATTCAAACAGAAGGAAATTCACAAGCAACTTTGGAGCTCTTTTCTGAAGTCCCTAGTGATCATCGTGTTTACATTCCCTGAGTCTTCCCTGTGAGACATTACCTGCTTTGCTCTTAACATTTCCTCTCTTAAAACACAAGCATCTCAAGGATGGAAAGAGTAAACAGTTGGATCTCAGCACCTTTGAGCGAAAGGTCGGCTGACAAGGAGCTATACTGTTGGCTTGCAGAGACTAGACTAGCTAGAAAATACCCTACTTTATCCTCCTGTAGACAAGCACAGCCTCAGAATTCTCACACAAATACCAGAATGTAAATAGCCTGTGGCTGTTCTTGGTTAGCCCTGATCGTAGTTATTTTCTATCTCTGGGTTTTCATCATCATAAAGTGATTGCTTCTTTATGGCTCGTAGAGACTTTTCAGATGCTTTCTTTCCTACGGCAGGTAACATACTGAGAATTACATTATTTGGGTGAAATAATTGTTTTTCTCTAAGTAATTAGCACATACATTCTGTAACTTTAAGACCTAAGTCTCCTTCACTAACACTTCCAGAGATCATCACAGTTTCCCAAGGCTACATTGGGATTGATTGACTGTGTTCTTTCAGTTGTCAGTCTGGAAAGCAGAGGTAGAGCTGTAATGGTGGTGGTAAGTCTGGAGAGCAGTGCCATCCCAGGGGCACAGGTGGTCTGGGTAAGAGTAGCCACAATGGAAGGCTGATGAGTTAAGTTCCCTGTTCATATAGGCAGACTTTACAATAAAGCCTTACCAGTGTTAGGTCAGAACAAGGGAGAATGGAGAGGGTAGGTCAAGAGAGTTATCTTTAGCAAGAGAAGCAGGGGCACACGAGGAAGAGACAGGGAGACATTAATGACTGCTTTTCCTGTTTAACGTTGTGAAATGATCCCTTTTTATTGTATGACATCACAGTTGTTGTAATCCGTTGTGTGTTTGTGTTCAACATTCAGTTACACTAGCATATCCCTAGTTTCATAGCTCCCTTCTTAAGATAGTTAGGTATTTTGCTTTGTTTTGGCTTTTTATACAAATTAAAGGCCTCTGAAGGGAAATATGTCAGAAACTACGAGAAGAGTTACTTCTGTTATAATGCCAGAGGAGATGTCAGTGTTGACTGTTGTTTAAAATGACGGCAGTATGTGCTAAAAGCTGCAAGCTGTTTCTAAAGGGTATTGTCATAAAACAATTTCAGATACTTCTGTTTACATTAAGATAATTTCTTCCTGTATAATACCTTTCAATTATATGATCAGATGATTTTTCCATCACATAAAGATGTTTTTACCATCATTTAAGGGGAAATAATTATTTCCATTTTGTATTCATTATATTTACATTAACTGTGTAATGTATGTTTATTTGGCAGTGTGGAAATAAAGATCCTTAAGTTTTGTTCAGTAATTTCAGTTTCCGAAGATTCTAACAAGTAAATCAGAGAGGTGAAATAGTATGGCCAGTGGTACTAAGGGCCACAGCTTATATAGTAATAAAATGAGCACAAATGCCCTGCAAGAAAGAGTAATAAACTATTCTCCTTCCACATGAGAGACTGTCACTGAGCCATTAAATTGACTGTCATATTTTCAAATTGAGTGAATTAATTTAGATTAACTATATATTTAACTGTGTTGATTTACATTATTATTTGTATGTTGAGCTTGAAAACAAATGCACTAAAATGTTTATCTCATGATTGTCTCATGTAATAGGATTATGCGTGAGTTTTTTTATGTCTTCTGTTTTCCAAAATTTCTTCAATGATATGAATTACTTTCATGATGTTGGAAACAATAAACTGCTTTGAAAATCTGCAGGAGTAACCATGAGAGAAGATGTTGTTATTCCTCTTTCCAGCACCACTTTCTTTCAGCCCTCTTCCCAGCAGGGCAGCAGGTTTGCCTACACAGAGCATGATCTTTCTAGAAGCTAGAGGCAGACTTTCCTAGATACCATGAAGTTAACCAGCCATAAGAGTAGGAAGAATTTTATGCTGAGGACAGAGTAGAATATCAAAAGAACTGGGGTTCCAAGGATGTCACTGTATCATTGCTTGTGTTAACTGTGAACAATAGCCTGCCCTGTACTTCACAGTTGTATGACACAGGAAAGTCACTGTATATAAATAAGTTAGGTTTTCTGTTACAGATAAATGATCCTGATTGATAAAGTACTAACTATAAGGGTGTTGTATAAAGAACACCAGAAGAGGAAGTTAACAAAGAGTTTTAGGACTTAGCATCAGTAATGTTAACTTTTTGGTTAATTTTCCATATACAAGCTCATGGAACATCTCTCTTAATATTATGTGTGTTCCCAAGCTTTTTGATTTGCCGAATTCATGTAGAATTAATGGCTATAGTATTTCACTTATTTCAGAAAAATATATGAAATGGTTAGCCATTCCAGTTGTGAGGTATTTTTCTGTTGTCTCTAGATTTTCAGTTGTTATGTGTCACTATTTGCCCTCTTTCTGAACCTTCTGTAGGTTTTTTAATCTTCTTTGAATCAAATATTCAGAATGGGTAGGCTTAGATATTTCTAATCTTCTGGACAATTCCCCAAATTATAGTGACATACACAAGGAGTAAATATTTCACTGCATTCTCTGTAATGCCTTTCTTAAGATTGTTTAGTTTGACAGATGAAAACAGTTCCCCAGGTTTTCATTTCTGAGTATTAGTGAAGTTGGGATTTCCCCAGATAATGCTGCTACTGTGGCTGATTTGTATTGTTTATTGAGTGCTTATTTAATTTGCCTATCTCTTTTAATCACAATTTTGATTTCATAGGATCTGAAAAAGGCAAAATAATTTAATAACATGCAGAGAATTTTACACAGCAGGTAAGTAATAAAGACTAGTGTCAGCTCCGACTTAGCACTGTTGTATTTTACCCTGACTCTGACTTCTCTCTCTTAGGTGCTGTCTCCTGACCTCCATCACTTGAAGGGCCTCTCGGTTCCTCTATCTCCAGCATAGGTTATGTCCTACAAGTTGCTGGTATGTTGGGATTCCAGACACTTGGTTTGCCTTCCATACCAATAAGAGACTAAACTGATACTCTATGTAAGATTTTGACATTTTTTGAGTAGTGGCATTAGCTAACTGACACTGTTAAAGAAGCTGAGAATTAATATATTCAGTTGATTCCATGAATGTATATGTTACGTATGCTTCACCAAAGTAAAATGAGTGATCATGCAATTGAAATGCTGTAGTAACAGTAGTTTCTCTCTGAACAATACTTGACACATTGGTGCTTGTTGATGATGGAGTAGGTATGGTGATATATTATTTATGATTTTTTAAAAGCTTGCCTAAGGGTTCAGAATGCAAAGAAAGTCACAAGCCATAGAGGTCAGGCAGTGGTGACACACATCTTTAATTCCAGCAGCCACACTGGCTAGCCATAGTGCTAGGCAGTGGTGTCATACACTTTTAATCCCAGGACTCAAAAGACAAGCAGATGGATCTCTGTTAGTTCAGGTCCACACTGAGCTATTTGAAATTGATCCAGTCCTAAAAAGAAACAGCTCACTAAAGGTGATCTCAGCACTTTGGATCATATGCATTTAATCCTAGCACTAGGGAGGTGTAAAAGGAAGAAGCAGAGGGTCTCTCATGTGGAGGTTTAGTTTCCAGACAGGGAGAGCTATTGTCTATGAGGATTCATGGAGCTAGCTGGATCACATTCTCAGTTGGAGGTAGAGGCAAGAGCTGGCTGCTTTGCTTATCTGACCCTTAGCTTGAACCCCAATATCTATCCTGGCATTTGTATTTTTCATGTTAAATATTGGTGTGAATCCACGAAAAAACCACTTTGAGGCCACTGGTTCAAGCCCAGGCCTGATATGCAGGCAAGACTCCTGTCTGAGTCTCTGCCCAGCCAGCTAGGTTTTCTTTTATTTTTTCCCCCAAGTCTTTGAGTGAGTGTGGGATTTTTCAGTTGTAGCTTTTCTAAACAGTCTTATTCTGCCAACAAAACTCAGGAATCTTTGCCTTCAGACCATACCCATCACATATGTTTCTTCTTAACAATCCTGAGTGTGTTTTTAAGACAGCCAGCTCATTCTCATTTCTCTCTCTCTCTCTCTCTCTCTCTCTCTCTC